GGGGCCGCGACGCGCACAGCTGTGCCCAGGGCAGCTGGTGCTCGGGTTTTAATATATAATTAAACACTCCGTGCGCATGGTCACACGCTTACCTTGAAAAACGAACCCTGGAAACAGTCATTCACAACCTTTATTTGCTAACTTTATTACAAAAGGTACTGGAGGCATCTGCTTCGTGTATCAGGGCTGGAGTATCACCCCTGCTGCAATGCAAGTTTAAAAAAATAGCAGTAATACTTCGGGAAAATACCCAAAAGACTGCTCAATGACTCGCAGCGTCAGTTTTAAACCCGCATCAAGGGTCTGCTTTGCTACTTTGTGCCCTAATGCTCTCATACACGGTTCCGCTTTTTAGTCTCCAAGACAAAAAAAAAAAAAAGGAAACGGGGCTCCTGATCCATGAGCAGGGTGAGATGGAGAGTTAACAGGCGGCCTTGAGGCTAAGTAAGAAACAGCACTGGGCAAAAGGAACAGAGCTGCAGTGGAACGGCCTTCGGCCGCAGACACCATTAGCCCCACACTTACTGCGGTGTGTAGGAAACGGGGTCTGCACAACTCACGCTGCTTCGCTGGGCACTCGCCTGCTGCTGCTGCTGTCCGGCTGCCGCAGAACCCCTGAAGGGCGACACAATTGCCCTGGCAGTTTCAGTCCATCCAGATCCGGGGACTGAAAATGGATCAAGATGGTTGAGCGGCTCACACCTCCTCCATTCATCCTTCTCTCCTGGGCAATCTGAGATACAGGTAGTATTGAACACCAACACCACTGCTATGCTCTCCCCTAGTCCTTCAAGAACATTGACTTCAGCACTGAAAATTCTGCCATGTCCCAGTTTGTGTCATCTGTGGCACTATGGAGTATGGAACACTCCAGAAGTTATACCCAGCAGTATAACAGAAATGCAGGGATGAGAAATACCAGTATTTTATCAGCACTTAGCTGAGACCTTATTTTCCAGGCCTGAGAAGAAGTTACCCAATATCCAACTAGTACATACTGTAACTGAATTTTACTCTTTTTCAGTACAGGAGCTTCATGTACCTTCACGATGTAATGAAGGACTCGGATCTGACCAGTGCTATGAGTAGAAATAACTGCCACAGAACTAGTGGCTTGTTATTTTTAGCATCTACAGTGCAGCTTAAGATTGTTCTAGTAAAAACCTACAATCCACAATGCACCTTTGGTTTCTTCTATCCTCTGCAAAATTCTTAATAAAACTGTAATTAAAACAAACTTTGCAACTATTAGAAAAAGCCTTCATCTTTCTACCTCACTCTCTCTATTCATCTTCATGTCAAATCCCTCAATCTTAAAAAAAAAAAACAAAAATAAAAAACCACAACAACAACAAAACAGGAAGGGAAAGGATGGGGTGTTTCCTGGGGAAGCGCAGGCCACATGGAGTGTCTCAGCAGGTCACATTCGTCCGCCAGCTGAGAATTCAAAGAGCAGCCATGCTGCCCAGAACGTGTCGTTGGATAATGGGTCACCAGTTGGATCCTCCAGGACCTGAAAGACACAGGAAGGAATCAAAGCTTCACCACATATGATTGTTAATGATGCGTTGCTCACGGTGGAAGAGCTCCTTTGGGCAGACACAGTAGCATGAGACTGTGCGGTGGGAGGGAAGGTCCGCGGTGAGGGTTGTGTGCATGAATGGACGAAGTCCTTGTTCCCCTTTAAGTTGAGGTAAAGTAATCCACCTGTACAGGACGTGGGTGTAAAAATGACAAGCACCATCCGTGCACAATTCAACTCTTAGTAATTCAGAGAAGAGCAAGGCCAATGCCTTCCCTTAGCCCAAGGCATTGGCTCCTATAAAAGCAAGTAAATGACAGAGGGTAAGGCCAGGATGAAACAATTAAGGGAGCGATCACCTGAAAAAGAGCTCTGTTCAGAGAGGGAAAGAAATACCCCCAAAATAAATTAACTTTTTTGTTGTTTGCTTGCTTGTTTTGTTTTACTCTCATTTTGGCTCTGATGGGATGCAAGACCTATGAAAAGCAAATTGAATGCGATGTGTGGACAAAAAGAAACGTACATCTGCACCCCTGTGGTTCAGACATAGGAACCAAACACCTGCATGCTCCTGCAACAAGCCCAGGGCAAGTTGATTCAGTAAGAAACAGAGTGCCCAGGAAGCCTGTAGAATGCTGCAAAATCATTTACCCATTCAAACTCTTCCTTTTCCTACAGCACACATTAAAATATGCAAAAAAATTCTGAATTCCTGAACTGAGTAATTATTACAAAGATTTGGAGATGTCCCTTTTTGACATCTGCAGGCATCACACGGTATCTTGCTCCCCAGCTCACGCTGCACTGAGTGTCCTGTTCTGTAAGATTGCAAAATCAGTGCAAGAATGCAAACCAGCAAGATGAAAACTCTAGCTACAGAGACTGCATGCTCTGGAAATCTTAGAAAAGGCTCATTCATTATTAATGCCCAAAGCTTTCCTACTCATCCGGCTCGCATTATGGCTGGTAAAAAGGCCACTTTCCACGATACAGATCTTTATATTGATGCTTTCAAAGCCTCAAAAGAGGTTCTGTTACTGCCCTCAGAGCTGCAGCCGCTTCCTATAATGAGGCCAGCAGATATGGTCTCCTGCTTTTCAAAATCTCTTTTAAAAACGTTTTCTCCAGCAGCTTACACTGCAAGAGAAACAGAAATGGATGCTAACTGATTGGCAGGCCAACGCATGTGAAGCCAAAAAATACCTCAAGGTACACTTCAGACAGTGCTCTCTCATGTCCTATTTTTAGGTAACGTTTAATTCACAGATGTGCTCTCATCCCCTTGAAAGCACCAAATTTCTAACTTCTATTCTGCACTGCCTTAAAACCACCATAAGAAGGCACGCAGACTGCATCCACATCGTGGAAGTAACTTCTTTTATTGTTTTCTGTAATAGTGCTGCTCTGTACACTGCTATCAGCCATCTTGTAACAGTGCAAAATCCCTTTTCCTCACCAATAACACAGTCTTGGAAGTGAAATCACATGAAAGTTTTAAAGAGGCCTGAGAGAGCACAGTCAAATTCCGCAGAACCCCCCAATGGGGAGGGCCCTCAAGCAGCCATCTTCCTGTCATCTTCTTCCCACCGTGCTAGGTGAGCCCTCCTTTCCTCAAAATTTAAATGACACTTTGGATCTGCACAGGTTGCTTTGGCCATCATTTCAGTGATACATTTAGTAAAATTAGGGTCTGATAAGCAATCCAAGTGGGGAAAAAAAAAAACCCACAACAAAAAGACCTCTCCTTCTATCCTTCTAGCATTTGCTGGATGTTACCCAGGAAATGCCTAGCTTGCTCTGAACTGGATTCCAAAAGGTATGCTTAGATCAAATGTATTTCTTACTAAATATGATGTGAGATTTCACATCTCCTGTGTGAGAGCTACAGCTGGATAGTGCGTACAGGGCTAAGCTTCTTTCTCTGAACATTAGGTGTGTTCTCTTACCTGGCTTTGTCCCAAGGCTTGGCTTTCTTCCATGCAGGGTGCAGAAACAGGTGGGCGCTCAGGCTTGCCAAACACAGTCTGACAAGAACTGGAAGAAAATATAATATATAAATGCATTTGTATTTATGCTCTACTCACCACTTACTGTAATGTTTTGCAGCAGGACAAGAGGGGCTGCTGGCAAGACTATTCATTCAACAAAGGTCTGTTAAGTTGTCTACAAACCGGCCCATTTCTCCAAATCGTGATGGCCTGAAGTTACAGATTGTGCACTGGGAGAACTAGCCTGACCAGGGGCAGTATGGAGGAATGACATCTCATTGCAACTTTCCTTATGTCCCCAGAACACTCTCTGTAAACAAGGAGATGTCTACCAAAATGTCTCTTTTCTGGAATATATTTTAAAAACATACATCTTGAGAGTCAAAACACATAAACATGTGGCTTTAGACATAGTCACAACATTGGCTACGACACTACTATAGCTTTTCAAGGCCACCTGCTGAGAGTCTGGGGACGTGGCTTCCCCAACCACACCTCCCTTGGGGGCTCTGCCAACCTCTCCAAAGAGGTCACAGTCTGCAGGCACTAGGTCAAGTAGGAGACACTGGGTACTTGAGAATGGGATGCTCTCTCCCTTCATCACCAACTCAAAAGTATCAATACTCCAGCAACACTGCCCATACCATTCCCAGGAACTGTCCGGGGCACAAATGGCAATACAGGCCCAGACCAAAGGTGCCAACTAAAAAAGCACAGGAAAAAGTAGAAGAAACAGGGCAAGTGTCAAGTTGCCCTTCCTTGGAACCACCCTCAGGTTCCAGCAATCAGGCTTGGGACTCCTCTGCTGTAGGCTGCATTCAGGCAATTACATTTACTAATGAGAAACACACTCAATCTCCCTGTTCCCCCCCAAATTTGTCTCATCCTTTTTCATAGCCCACTTACGCTGATATGCACAATGCCCTTAGCAACAAATTCTGCGATTTAATTACGCAACATGCCAAAAAGTAGTCTACTTTTATGCATTTTGAACTTGCTGCCTGCCAGTGTCGGGGAGCTGGGTTATCCAGAGGGGAGAGCCTAACAGCAAGAAGATTCCTAGCACTCAGCTGGAATCCCAAAAACACAGGCAGAAGCAGTAAGCTGCAACGAACATCTCAGCACTGATGCTTTCTAAATCAATACGCTGGCTCATAAATGCAGTCTGTCCTGCTCCACAGAGTTCAGTGTGCTTTTCTGTTTGAAAAGTGAGGCACGAGAGAGTTATATTCTGCATGAACTGTAGCTGGGCTCCATTCCACCTGTCTCAACTCAAGGAGTGAAGAGGATACAACTCCACTATCTGTAAAGGTGAGCATCTGTTTGGAGTCCCACGGGGACTTCCAGTTCACTAGCTGGATCAAACCCTCCTGCCAGGCGGCAGGAGCAGATGGAGACAGTCAGCTTCCAGCCTGGCTCCCCCTCACACTCCCACCTCACAGCCCTGTAGATCATAAGATGTTTGGATAGAGCCCAAGTGCGTAGGACCGACTGTAAAAAGACCATGAAAGAAATCAACAGGAATTGTTCTAATAAGCTTTCAGGCCAAGTCCTTTCCAAGTGAGCACCTTTAAAAATGAGACAAGCAGATTAAGGGTCCTTTGGCTCACTTGGAGCTCTACCCCTACGCTTACGCAGCAGGGACCACAGGTGCTGGAAGGGTGGTGAGAGCATAACACTAAGTCCACTCCAGGTGGGTGACCTCGGCTAAATAAAGCAGAAATAACTTCATTGCCCTGTTTCCAGGATAACACCACGCATTTGCCTTACAGTTTAAGCTGTTGACGCCTTCACAAGTCCCCAGATGAGTGATGCTCATGGCAACATTATTGCTAAAGATGACTCTGGTGACACAATACTTCTCTCTAATCCAGTAACTCTGTTAGAGGGCTCTGCCTGATAACAGAGGCGATCCTCATTCATTGCCATTCAAGAACAGTGATCTTACCCAAGACTACCCACACCAGGTCTCCTGGCTCTCTAGAGAAACGGCAAAAGGGCCTAGATGCAATTGCAGCCTAAGCATCACTCATTTCTAAAGACATCGCTGTTCCACAGCCTTCATGGTATTTTGGGGAGTTCAAGGTGTTGGGGGGTGCTGGACCAGGCCACTAAACAGGGTTTCTGAATAGAGTTCGAATAACTATGTCCTCACTAGAAGGTGTCAATTAAGCAACAAGTCCTGCCCCTGCCAGGAATACGATAAAGGGTGTGTGGATTCCTGGCACAACTGACATACCCAACAAGGAGACATTCACCATAGATTTCTTCTACTGGTGGAACATATTTTAAAAATAAACATGAGCTCACTCTAGAGTCAGAACATGCAATTTTAAACCCAGCCAAAATATTGCCAGCAAGCCTCGCTGCTGCTCCATGATCTTTAGCCACTGTTCAAACCTGCAGCTCCTGAAACACAGACAGAGGTGGGTTTACAATGCCCAGACCTGGGTTGTCCCCAGCAATTCAGAGCGAGGAGTCTGACACAAAAGTCAACAACTGTAGGCACCAAACTAACTGGGAAACAGGCGTAAAAGGCAGAAATGTTTTTAGCAGGGAACTGGGAGGCAAAAAAACACTGATCTTTATCTCCAGTGAATCACTGCCTTCCCTTGTTGCTCGACAAGCCACAAAGCCTCTCTGTGCCTCTGCTTCCTCATCTATAAAGTGGGAATAAAACTGCTTATACCTACCTCTGACCTATTATTGACAGTGTCATGCTAGCACAAGTGCTGGACAGTGTCAAGCAGAAGACTTATGAAATGGGGCTACTGCTCCCGCTGTCTCGCAGATCCGTACATTAAAAGAACCTTGTAATGTCTGTTTGGCAGTGTTTATTTTTATGTAACATTATGGAAGTTGTATAACACATGGAAGATGGCACAGATTTTTGTTGGTTTGTGTTCTGTGAATTTGTCTCAAGTTCCAGAGAAAACCTACAGTCCGAAACATTTGTTACAGGTGGAAAACAAAGACAAAACAGTGCCTGTCTGTCTGTCTTCCAGTTTGGAAAGTTTGCTCTATGGAATAATCTCGTCATGAGGTTACGAAGCTACAAAAACTATTTTAGGATCAAGTATGGGCCCTACCGACGCAGTCCACAGAATCAGCTCTCACTGGATCAGTATAGGTTATGATATTCTGCCAAAAAGAAAAACAGGCAAATAGCTTAGAAGCTAAATCTGCCTTAAAGAGAGGGGTTCGTATCTTTTCTGATGAGGCTGGTCCCGAATCTCCTTTGTGCCACCACCATAAAACACATACACACTTATACAGCATTTCCAATGTGCATATCTGCAAAATATGATGGACACAAGGAATCAGGCCCTGGAATGAGATGTATTACTAAGCTCTTTCTGCAGCGCTCTTCGACAGGGGATCAGGATAAGACTAGACCCACAGCATCACTGTTACTCCTGCCTTTAAGAAGTTCTGTGCTTTCCGCTCCCTTTACCTGTGGGGAAGGATAGATTCCAGGGTCCCTAGCTGTCCTTCTCTAAGGATGAAGCTTTCAACCTCTAAATCTGACTGCTGAATGATTCTTCCTGAACTGGCCTCAATACAGCCACCTTGAGGGACTCTGCTCAAGGGAGCTCTGATACCTGCTGAAATAAATGTTCATATTAAAGACAATTACAGATAACAGTACCCCAACCTCTGATCCAGCTATTCCTCCCCTCCTTACTCCACATTCACCAGAGGCTGGGTGAATAGCAGTCATAGCACTTTCTGTTCTGTGGACCTACAGCAAAAGCAGGTGGACATCACTTACATATCCTATTAAGGCTATTCTGAAGAACAGGCAGAAGAAAAGAGATGGTGGGAATGTCAAACAAGACTGGACAGGAAGTAAATAGAGAGGGAGAGTGAAAAAATAGCAGGAAGGAGAAAGGAAAGTGAGGACCGTGCCACAATTAAGTAGTTCTCAGACTCTGCTCTGGCAATCTCTTAAGAATGACAGGCATTTAAAGCTTGCAAACTGGCAAGGTGAGCAGACAACACCTGAATGACTCTTCCAATGGAAGTTAAAAGGAATCCACTTTGCTGGATTCCAGGTGATGTATGGAATCTAAGTACTATCTTATGGAAGGAGTTACAGTTTAAGCAAAAGAGTAAGTAAGAATGTCTGCTTCAACACCTTAAATCAACAGGTTTTCTCACCGAACTTACTATGGGAGCAGAACTCCAGAGCTCAAGATAAGCCCTGCTCCCACTTGTCACGACATTAGAAAGCCACGTAAGCGAGCAAGAGCGCTTACAACAAAGGGAAGAGAAGCTTGAAAACTCTTCAGGTCAACGATCTGGGTGCAGTTTTACTAACCTTCTATACTTGGGGTCCACATGGAGCCACAGACTCCTCTGGTGCTGGAAGGAGCCTGCCACATGGCCAGCTGTTCATCTGGGAAGGTAAAGGACCCGCAAGAGCACAGGACAAAGGTATTCAGCTGGGGGCTGGTGTCAGCGCCGCTTGCTACTTCTCTAGGCTGCAGGACAGCAGAGTTAAAGCAGGTTCCTGGTTCCAGCATAGCCTCAGTGCAAAAAGCTACAGGTTGTTCAGCGTTGTGAGTGGTCAACAAAGCCTTGCTTGTCCTTGCTTCATAGAGCTCACTGCTCTGCATAAAGCTGTAACGATGGAGAAAATAAATCAGCCAGACATATTACTTTACAAAGAAGGGAGATTCTCCAGCTAAACCTTTGAATCCTGCCCTTGACAGCTGGGAGATTAAGTGCTTGATGCCAGGCATGGGAAATTCCCATCTGTGGAGTTATGACTCCTAAGTGATGTCCCCTGGGAACTGACATGAAAGTCAGTTCGTGAACAAGTTTAAAGGTTGTTTCATCTCTGAACTGTCACTGTAAAGACTTTCTCATACATCACCTGGATTCCAGCATCTTTAAATATGTTCCTTCCAGAGGCTTATCCAGATCTGCAGCTGACTGCTCCCACCCTGGGTCACAGGGCACGAGGGTTATCTCCATTTGCTCAGAGCTGATGCCTGCACAAGATCCATCTGAAAGGTGCAGGCCAGACAGATGAAGGAACACATAGTTACTCCAAAAAGCAATGAAACAAGTCTAATTTGCCAAATGCAGCAAGACCCTTTTATTCCCCATGACTGAAGTTTGGTCAAGATTCTGTGAAGAGGCATGGAAATACTGGGCTTTACTGGAGTACTGCCCTGATCCCAGAATCTGAGAGCTAAAACCCACTGCCTCCCATGCATTTGCTTTCATTTGGTGCCCCTTCCAGGATGGGTATCTCTTTTCACCTGTGCTTGCACAGGCCTTACTAATGCTTGCTCCTTCTATGGAGTGAGAGCACCTAGCCAAACAGTGAGGCACTCCACTAAGGTAGAGTCCTCCAATGTCCACTTGAACTACCAGCATATAGATGCTCTTCTGGAGAAGGAATATCCTTCACTTCCTGAAGGAATTTAAAATTGTTTTCCAGCTTTCTGGACCACATCCCAAGACCATTAGGAAGAGACAAACCTGTGGTTTGTAGAGTATAGGATCCTTTATCCTGATGCACCTTTGTGTGGCAAGTCAAACCTCTCTCAGGATACGAGTTGTTGAGCTTTTCTGTACGAGGGAGGCAGGATTTTTGACGTCGTCGATAATTCGCAAACCAGTTATAGACCTGAGTTGGCTGCAGGTTCACATCCCGAGCCAATCCCTCCTGCAAACCCAGGTGCACGGAGAGATCAAGGGAAAAAGAATAAACCACATCCAAATAATCAGGCTTTTCCCTTCAGTTCCAAAAGCAGCCCAGCAAAAGAGCTTTCAAACCAAGAGACATTTGTTCACTAGGTCTCTGATAAGTCTCCATGGATCCCATTGAGGAGACCGATTTATAAACTCCAAAGAATTGCTGGAAAACACACATTCCACCCTACTCCTCTAGTCAATTTGTTTGCTGAAAGAAACCATCTACTGCTACACCTCACCAAAGCATGCTGTTCCCATGGAATGGCTGGTTCACATCACTAACATGACACTAATAGGATAAACACTAACGCATTTACCATGTTAAATAGTTTTCACAAACTGAGAGCGTTGTATAAACATCTGTATCATGTTCACAGAAAAATTTCTGCTGAATTAAACGGTTAAATAATGAGGTCATGTAAGTGAAGAACATATTGGGAAATTAGTGCATAGGTGATCATCGTATCCTGACCTTTTAGGGCTTAATTATGCAACTTCCTTATGCTCCCAATTCAGATTGTGGGGTTTTTTTTAATGAAAATTTGGAAGTTATTAATGCTTTGCAAAAAGGGTAAGAAATAAACCATTTTCACATCGCAGAACTATTCAGCAGGTCCATCCTGCCTCGTACAAGAAGGGTATTGGAAAAATCAAGCACCCCAGAGGCAGACTTTAAGGTCTGAAGCCTTCACCTTGCAAGGTGGTAATCAACAAGGATTACTGAATTAATTCACATGTCACTTTCTTTATAAATTTGTCCTGGTCCAAATAAGGTAGATACATGCATACATCAACACAGGCTATCATGTTTTCAAATCCTGTGAATTTAAAGTGGTAAGTCAGTAAAAAATATATTCTGGGAAGCAAAGTGCAACTTTATACAGGCTAGAACTCAGTCTAAGTCAGAACTATTTATCACTGTAATACAGCTCTTCGGAGTGATAGTTGTTTTGCTGCCTATGCTCAATTACTACAAAATTAGGACTGTTAAAAGCCCAGTGAGCAACTTATTTCCCCACATCTTTTTGTCCAAAGCACGCAAAATTACTTAGC